ATAGTAATCAAGACAATAGATTTTAATCAGTGATAGTAAGTGAAATTCACTCCTAACTAGTGACTAGTCGCTCAGTCAATTTGTTTCGTTTATAGCAACCGGTAAGTCGACTTTTTGAAATTCTCTAAAATTTAAGATACATTTTAAAAAATGCCCTCATCCTCCCTATTTGCCATAAGAAAGAAAATATCTAAGTTACATGTAAGAATCAAAGCAAAAATCCATAGCAAATTTGTGTTGAGATACGGGACTTTGAGGAAAAGCTTGGCTCTGAACTAGGAATCAAAATAAGGTATATGAGTGAAAAAAGGCGGAATTCTATGGAATCGGAACTAACGCCTGCCCGAGCTTGCCCCATTATCAAACTACTTTTATACATTTAATAAAAAAGGAAAATGACTCCAAATAGTTTCAAGGTCAAGTTTCTTTATATGTCGAAACGTTTCATGAAATTTTAACAAGTGTAATTTTTAAGTTAAAATGCCTTCACAATGACCTAAAATTGCTTCGAACAGAGGATATTATCAAAGACCATGCGTAATTATTCAATATAATATTATTGTGTTTTGTCATTTCGTTTCAGGTCAGGGTGCTCAATAGCGGTTTTTACCATTGAGTTAATACACCATGGTTGGATACCATTCCTGTTTAGGTTAGTATATCATTTTAGGTTGTTGTAGATTATCAGGGTATAAAATTGTGCCCTTTCCATGCAAAAATATCGTACGTGTATAATTGCTTGCTTGAAAATTGGCATAATGATTTTTCAAGCGTGTTTGAGTTTGTCTGATGATTGTGACCCTTGATACAGCAGATATGATGAGACAATTCGGTACAAACTATATGACCTGAGAATGTTACTAGATACCTGGAAGTGACAACAGCCAAATCTTTCAATTTGTTTAGTTTATTGGACTAAAGTTTAAATTATGATTCTGAAAAGTGTTACATATAGATTTTAAATGAGCTTGATCAGAAAAGTAAAAATAAATAATTATAACATCGTAAAACACAAAGTTTATTTTTATTTTTATTCTTTTTTACCATGGCGTTTTCTTACATTTCAGTGTTTCGAGTATAGTAGCTCGTCTTCAGCTACGGACAACATGGTTAGATATGGTGTGCAACCTAGGTTTTTGGAGGTAGTTCACACGGAACAAAATTCTCGCGTTTTTGGGTTGGGCTCACGTGTAGTTTAGTTGTGGCAGCCTATGGGCTACCTTGTTAGGGCCACCTAGGTTGTACTTGGCTAAGCTGTCATATCATGTCCACCCAGCCTCTCTTGAAACAAATGGAGGTAAGTTAAGAGAATTTTCATTTCATAATCGTCAGACATTGTCTTGTTCACTTTTACCTAGTTGATTTAGAAAAGGTGTTCGAGTTTACTTTATATATTACCCTTGATTCATTCAATAGTCTAATATTTTGATCAATGAGAAGTAAATCCCACTTTCTCCAGCCAATATGATCAACAAAAGTCGTGTTTCAAATGGTTTAGCTATTCAAATATATACATAATCATTTTGTGCACAATTGTTCAATGAATTTATTTGGTTGAGAATTGATTTATATCATTGAATACTGACTTAAAGGATCAAGGGTAAGATAAGAAAAGCTCATTCACCTTTATTTGATCAAGATAGACATAATTAGAAAAATTAAGTTAATTATGGGGAGTAATTTTCCCTCGAAAGCAGTGAATCAGGATTAATTGTTTCTCTTCTGAAAACATAGACCAAGTATGGGAATCAATTCTTGATTATCTTGAAAATTGCAATGTAGAAGCATCAAAATTTTTCTGAGTCGGCTCTGTCAAAACTAGGTAGAAATGAACAAGTTTCAGACTAATACCTAATAACAAAAACTTGCGCACTATCCACACTACAATACGGTCATGATGTTGAGAGGATTTGAATAAGCGAACCCATAGAAATAAATGCAACAAAATATGTAAAAGCAGACTGGCAATATTGATTGGATAACCTCTAGTGAAAAATTTCCAAAACTTTGTCAATGGGCATAACGTGCACCCATAAGTCGTCCAACGTATTTCAGGGTGGATAACTTTATATCATACACGCAAATATACAGTTTATATTTTGTGATGAAATGAATAACACAAAAAAAATTATTTTAGGTGTATACAAATAGAGTTTCATTATATAAGAATAAAGTGCTTATGGTGTGGCATGGAAGCTCCTCGTGTAAGTTTCACATTATCATATCTTACCAATTCTGCATGTTCTGGCATATTATGCATAAAGTCTAATGGTTCAAATATTACTAGGGAGCCTTGGTGGCTCAGTGTGCTACAGGTTTTGCGTCTGAAAGATCTCTCGACATTTGGACGTCGGAAAAACAAGGCTAATATTACGGTCTTGGCATTATTAACTTCGTTGCACTATTACTCAATCAGATGCAGAATAGATAAACGTAATACTCCTTTTAACTGATTTTAATTTCAAATTTGATTGACAAACATATTTTGATAATAGGGGATGCAACCTTGATGGGCGTAACACAAAAGAGTTCGATAACTCTCTTACTGCTGACATCGAGTCATTATTTTGAGGTTAATGGTGGTCGTTCCCATTCCAGTCAACCTTATCATGAATTTCAAGCGGTTGGGACACGGATCAGTTGGTTAAAAGATCATAGGTGAACCTATGTTGTTAAAATGGTTGTTCGT